GCCTTATGTTGCACGGCATAAGCGCCAACAGGAACTTGCCCTTAGCCTTATTGCATCCGTGCCCCTGAAACCCTGCCACAAGAGATCTCAGTTCTGACCTAGGACTCCACCTCCACTTTCCCAAAAATCCTTGGGACACCCCTTTTCGAACTTTTAGGCACACATCCCACTTCGATCAGGAAGTCGCGCTGGGCGTGAGGTTGGTATCGGAGCCCGACACGTGGCCGGGTTGTAGGACTAACAGCATGATAATTAAGCGATCTGGCTAACCGCGGGCGACCTCGTCCCCGGAACGCGCATAGACGCAACCCCGTCGTCACTAGAAGCAGATCGGCTAATTGACGGTCCGTCAACGTGAATGCTAATCAGCAGAACCCTCTACAGAACCCGAATCCCCATCAAAATCCTAATCAACCTGTACCACGTGCACGAGCTCCTATGACGCCACTAGATCCCTATCTGTTTGATCCTGCGCATCATCTTGCTGGAGCATGGCTAGCCACGGTCCGGGCACAACAGTATGATGACAACGAAGCTCAGGTGAACATCCCCGCTCGATTAGGAGGGGACGCCCATCATTGGTTTAACACCTTTGTATGGGTGGATCTTCCAACTTTCGAGCAAGACTTTATGAATCTGTTTGATTATATCCATCAAGAGCAAGCGCTCTCTATGATTAAAGATCGAGTTCAGAAACCCCTCGAATCCGTTACGGAATATCGAAACCGGTTTTACCGGATGTTTGTAAAAACGGAGCGAGGCGAGCAAGACGGAAGAGATTTGTTCATTGACGGACTTCGCAACCGAATGATAAGGGCGAAACTGCGTATCAATCAAACGCTGCAACAAATCATGGCCGCTGCAGAAAAGATGGAACGAAAGTTTGCTGCGAGTTTCCTATAAGGGGAAGACTATTCGAAGGACGGAGACTCGTCCGAATTTGCGAGGGCAAAGGCTGAGCTGGCTGCGTTGCAAAACAAGTTCGAAAACATGGGGTTTGTGTCAGGTCCTGTTACCTATCTGGAACAGATATCCCCTAAAAGACCGGCACCGAGTATGATTACGGACATGCCCGTCCCTGTGATGCCAGCACCTGTAATGACAGCAACCCCGCCACCTACCGAAAAACCCGTACGATCGAATGAATCAACCGTCATTTTAGAGCTCACCAAAACACTAATTAGTATAATCCAAGAAAGCAAAAAGGAACAGCGAGAGCATAATGCTCAGCTGGAAGCTATGATGAGAAATATGCGGCCCATCGCAATACGCACCACCCCAATCCAACAAGGACTGGCCCCGGCGCCTGTTCTCGGAGGGGCCGCAACCAATCTGAACGTCTGTTATGCATGCCATCAACCGGGGCATCTAGCCCGAGATTGCCCCCACCGGCCCCCGCAACAACGAGTCGGAGCCGCACCAGTAGCTGCAGCCCCCATTGCCAACGGACCTGGACGGGTAGGGGCCCTGATGGAAGAAATGGAAGGCGGAGGAAGTGTGCTAGCTACCACAGAAGAAGTTGTTGAGCTCATTCCGTTAGATGAGTATGTATCACTGGGGTATCCGGGGCTTGGAATGATTGGAACCATTAGACCGGCGCCGGAACAGAAAGAAGTGGCGGAGTGACGACCTTCTCCAGAAGAGATGGAGTCGGGAGGACCCACCTTTGTCAATGGCGAAATCGATGTTCTAAACATCATCCGAGCATTGGATCATCGGATTCCTCTTCCGAACGGCCATCTGCTTTCGATATCCGAATAAGCTAACGAACGTATGCTGCAGCACTGCAAAGCAAATCGGAAACGATTTGCCCTTGCCAGAGCGGCCAGCACGAAAACAAAAGGACCAATGCCAGGCGAAAAGGCCACAGGCGCTTCCGATCCCATACGCATAGGGCTAATACAGTAAGATGATCACTCCCTGCGAATCAAACCTATCCCATGGAAATCCGCGGAATGCGATATCGAAGTATGGGGAGTCCCGTATAACGAAATTATCGATTCCGGAGCTGTTGTTTTGGCTATTTCGCTACGCGTAAAGAGAGCGACGCTGAAACCTGATTCTGGCACGGGCTGGACATGTGGCGGAGGGACCACCCGCCTGCTGAATTAGTGGAGGATGGACCAAGGGTTAGCTCGCGACAACATAACTGAGGTAGTTATGTGCGCGGAGAGAGTTTGGCGGGAAGCCAGAGAAAGTGGGTACGTGAAGTAGAGTACAAGTGATATATACGCGATAGAGAGGAGCGAGGTGCTTGCGATCAGGGTGCGGGGCTTCATTGTTGAAGTCAACGACTTTGTCAAATATACCTTTGCCATCTTTCGAGTGTGCTTCTGGTGGTGAGAAAGTGTTTGGTATGCGCAAGTAGAATGCCATGTAAATGGTGTATGTGCGATAAGAGAGAAGCCAACAAATTGGTTAGGAAGTGAACATGGTGTGATGTTAGAGGTAAATATGGGAAAGATGGGGACTAGAGTCTGAGATTTGCCAACGGGAAGGGCGCATCAGCTTGTGAAGCGCAGGGTTGACATTAGCTGCATGATTTTCCGTGGCGCTTATGAGATGTCATGTTTAACAATCGAGGTCATACCCATCTCGATGCTCTCATCTGCTACTACATGTCAATTAAGGGCTGTCTATTTGCAAAAATAGAAGCCTGTATAAGCAGGCCATTGTTGATATCTCAACTGATAAAAAGATAAAAATATAAAACGGAAAAAGAAAATTATATTTGGATAAAAAATTATAAAACGAATCAAGCATCCCCCCTCTAAACCCCTTCATTCCCTATCTTACGCCCTTTCAACCCTTCCATGACTTATCAAGCTTTTTATGAAATAGTTACATAGTTCTATTATATTTTGCATGCGCAATATTACTTTTTTTTTTTTTTTTTTTTTTTGCTTTTTTTTGACCATTTTTTTAATCATCCGGATTTTCGGATAATCCTAGCCCCCGATAATCCGGCCAGATAATCCGGCCAGGTATGCAGTGCTACATAGCATTTTTTTTTACGTATTTTGAGGGGGAGAAAAAAAATATTAAAAAATCGGGCCGCAGACTAGGCCTCATTGGCCGCGGCCACGACCGAGAATCTCGGCCGCAGCGGCCAAAAATCTTGCCCTCGGCCTAGGCCGCGAGTGTCACATAGCCCGTAGTTGGCCCATCTTTCCCAGCTTAGGACCCCTCATTGCTACCGCGCAGGTAGTCGCGAGGTGCAGAAATCGGTTCGTCACAGCGCTATGGCCACAAGGACGGATGAGTTACTAGAGATCTTAGGCCTCCCTGCACTACTCTTGACTGTCTAGTGCAATTTCAAGAGTTCTTCACTGCTCCACTACTTCATGAATTGGCTGCCCGAAATCAACTTCACCCTCCCCTGGTGCAAATTGTGCATGAGCGCCTTCCCAACTCGAAAACGCCCCGAAACAATTTAACATATATTCCACAATGCCCTGGTGCACTCTGGATGTGGAGATGGTGGGACAGAATCTGGGACCACTTAGGCACAAAAACTGCGTGGCCCTTGGACTGGAAGGCAGTACTATGTGAAGCCTGGATTGATCACCTTGATGAATTCTTCATTAATATGTTCAAATTGGGACGAAGAGCGGTTCTCTGGGCACTGTGGAGACAGCGCGACACATACGAGATGGAAGGGGCGAGACTGGAAGGCCCCGAATTCACCGGCAGTGTAATACAGCAGGTCCAAACAGAGATAACGTCCAAATGGGAAGCGGTTAAAACTCAAATCCGATCACTGCACACACATAAAGACATTAAACAAAATATTCGGGAATTCTGCTCAAGCTGGCTGGGAGGACCAAATGGAGGAAGAATAGGGAAAGTGAAACGGAAAAGGGACTTAAAGGAGACAGAGGAGGGACAAGAGGGAGCAAAAATAGAAAGGGACAACTGCCTGATATTCCGCCGCTGGGCAAAAATAGACGCAGCAATTCCCTTGAAACCTCCTGAAGAAGTCCCTGACCTCTTCCCCCCCACTTCCAACAGCCTAGTAGTGCAGTGGTACGAAATGTAGGGATGAAAAGAGAAATCAAGGGTTTGGATTCCTTAAGCGGGGGGAAGGAGGAACTAGTTTACAGCAGTGGGTTTCTAAGGTGAAGAGGTTCCCCCCCCCCAACATCTTGTTCAGTCAATCCCCTGGAACCTTGGGTAATCAATGCTGGCACGGACCTCCCGCGATTGTGTATTTTTCTGATTTACTTCAGCTTCAGTTTGTATAAGGGACACTGGACACGATTTCCAGCAGGTGACGCTCCCCACCAATAGATGGAGCCTTCCCCAGGTGCTAGTGGTGTCTGCTTTTACCAGCACCACTAACACGGTCAGGGGCATGTTCATAAAAAAAAAAAAAAAAAAAAAAAAAAAAACTTTTCGAAAATTGTGTTGGGTTGCTGTTGATGCGCATTACCACTTACCTCTGGAAAAATTCTCATGAAACTTTTTTTCAAGAGTTGTCAGAGTCAGCTCATGTGAGGCACTCTTGAACTCTCAAGAGCACCAGTGTGGCATACTACGCAGCCACACGGGCCTGCAGGGCCCAACGAGACGGAAAATAAGGGCCCTCCAGACCCTGTGTCGCTTTATCCTAAAAGCCTGAAAATGACGGTCATTTTCAGGCCCTCATAAAGTCGACCTGCCCTGAAACTCAGGCGCCAGACCAGGGTTTAACACAGACCATTTTTGGGCCTGTTTCAAGACAACGTTTGCTTGAACTTCAATGCCAGGGTCTGGCAAGTTTCGGCATTGGCACGAGCAGCCTCCTGGATGGGCCAGCACTATATAGAACTGGCCTGCCCTGCAGGCTGCAGGTAGTTGGTAGGGACTTCCCAGGCAGTTCACGAGGAGTTCATAGGCACTTCACGTGCAGTTCAGGAGGCAGTCTTCAAGAGCTCGGCCGCAACACTCTGGAGGAGCGCTGCAGTAGTAGTAGCTAGCTCTAGAGTAGTCTTCAGCGTTGGGCGCTTGTAAGAGCTTAGAGTAGCGTTGGGAGAAAGAGAGGGTTGGCGGAGGCCAGGGAGACTTACTTGTGGCGCCATAGCTCCAGCTTCGTCTTCAATCTACCTGCAACAAGGCGCAAATGTCCCCTCTTCTCGCCCGATACAATGACAAAAGGCACTATTGCGATATCACAGATCTTCCGAAGTCTCTGCAGACGCCTGCAAAGGAAATTCGATTGTTACACTTAGGGGCAGAGATCAACTCTTTGGAACCCCCTGAGCGCCTCGAGAACGGACTCGGAATCAAGATCGCCACGAAACCCGTGTCGTGGCAGGACATTCAAGATAGGGTGACGCCTGAAGAACACATGGTCATCCGAGAAGAGGATGTGCAAATGATGGCCATGGTGTTCTCCTGGCGATCCGATAACTCATTCATCTCCGCGCCCCCACCGGAAAATACTAAGCGAATGAATACGAAACACATCGATGTGCGGATAAGGGACGAGTCATACGAGTTGCACGTACCTCGATACGTACCTGACGAGATCCACCACCTAATCGCTGACATCCTGAAAGAATACAGAGGAGCGATTAGTGTGACAAACACAGACATTGGACTGTCATTAGTTATACAGCACGAAATCCAGACGGGAAACCATTCCCCAATTCACTGCAAGCCTTACAGGTATTCCCTGGTAGAGAGGTTCTTTAACGGATAAGAGAGTTCGAACCGAGCGGTTGGATTGAACCCGCCACCGGACCATGGTCATTCCCGGTAGTATTGGTGCCGAAAAAGAACGGATCGATCTGCATATGCATTGATTATCGTAAAAAGAAGGATATCACGATCAAAGATGTGTACCCCCTTCCCCGGATTGACGATTTGCTGGATACGATTGGGTGTGCTAATTATTTCAGCAAGTTTGATATTTAGCATGGCTTCCATCACATTTTGGTTAAGGAGGAAGATCGGCCTCGTATTGTTTGAAGGCACGTGGCAATGGGTTCGGTGCCCGATGGGGATTTGCAATTCGCCGGCCACTTTTCAACGAGCCATGAACGTCACGTTCCATAACTTCGTCAACAAGACGCAGCTCACAAGGGGGATGATTAATTTTTGCGTCATCGTGTACATGGACGACATCCTCGTCTACTCCGAGACTTATCACGGGCAAGCGCAGCATATCGAATGGACACTGGGTGCTCTAAGAGACGCTGGATTTAAGATTGCGCTAAAAAAAAGCGAATTTTTCCTTTCAGAAATTTTATTCTTGGGCTACGTTGCGACATGTGGAGGACTGCGCCCAGACTCAAGAAAAGTTGTGGTAGTGAAGGAAGCTCCTGTTCCCGCGTCACTGGCGTAGGTTCGAGCCTTCTTGGGGTTGGCATCGTACTATCGTCGGTTCATCAAAGGCTTCGCCTCGATTGCCCGACCGCTAACGAACCTGCTGAGGAAGGACCAGCCCCTCAGTTGGGACGCAGAGTGTGAACGGGCCTTCGCAACTCTCAAGGAAGCCCTGACAACGACACCTATTTTGATCCGACCAGACCCCTCGAAGCAATTCATTCTCATCACGGACTGGCAACCGGAGGCTATTTCCGTTATTTTAGCGCAAAAGGGGAACGATGGCCGCGAACATGTCATCGAGTATGCGTCACGAACAGTACCAGACGAGAGAAGGAATGATTCAGCCCCGCAGGGCGAGTGCTGAGCAGTTGTGTGGGGAATCCAGCACTTCCATCCGTATCTGTATGGACAAAAGTTCCTCCTTGTAACCGATCATGAGCCCCTGTTAGCGCTGAAGAAGCTCTCTAATTACACGGGCATGATTGGCCGATGGGAGGTGCGCCTACAAGAGTACGACTTCGACATCATCCATCGAATGACGGAGAGACACGGCAACGCGGACGGGCTGACACATCTGCATCGACCAACTAAGCCTAAGGCAGAAGAAATCGTCCCGTGGAAGAAACCGGAGTCGGTGAACGGGCCCAATTACGAACAAGCAGCAGTTCTTCCTTTTGGCAAGAAGCAGGCGGATGGCAATGGGTGACGAAGGTAATCTTGCAACTCCTCTCTCTCCCCTCTCCTCCTCATCTTTTCTCTCTCTGCCTAATAAATTTTGTTATTTTTGCAAAGCAATTTCTCGCGTATATTCAGTCTCTATGCACCCTAGCGGGGAAGGATATGCGGAATGGGCAGATTGCCGAGAGTGTGTCGCACGAGCCGACGGCTCGTGCGTCCAATACCGAAATGGCAGTAAGCCTTGGCTGTGCCCCTTGTGTCGGGTTGATAAGATCCCGACCGAGGCTCGCTTTTTAGATGCCACGTCAGAAGGGTTAAAGAAGACCTGGAAGTTCAGAAGGGCCGAAGTATGGACGGATATTGCCTTGATTGCTACCTTAGTGGTTAACCCCTTCCAGGACTTCACCAAGGAAGATCGGAGGCGGGCCAATAAAAGGGCTCGGGATTACCGCTGGAATAAGGGACGCTTGGAAAAACGGAAAACGGATGTCTGTGGGATTTGGATGGTAGTACCGCACCCATTCATGAGGTATGACTGGGTAAAGACAGCGCACGAGGAAACTGCTGCCCATTTTGCCGTATGAATCACAGAAGCAGCAATCGACAAAAACGAGTGGTTTTTGTCTAATATTCGAGACAATGTGAAATTCATCGTCATGAATTGTCAAGTTTGCGCTGCTGATAAAGCGCCGATTCATCCGCCAAGATCGATAGTACCAACGGTAGTTGAACGGCCTTTTCAACAGGTAAGCATTAATACTACCGATATCGTGGTGCCCCCTGGAACCTAATAGTTGTGAGTATTCAATCCTACTGGTGTTCTCGAAATGGATCGAGGTGTATCCCTGTTGTACGCGACAGGCGGATGAAATTGCGTGATACGTCAATAGGTTTTTAGGGATGCACCAGGACACGGAAGGAATTCTGACCGATAATGGGGTAGAATTAAGGGGAGAGGTCTTGAGAAATCTGGTCGTACACGGCGTCGCTATTCGGAATACCGCACCCCACATGTCGCAATCTAATGGGCTGGTAGAAAATGCCAATAGGGTGATAGAGACTGCGGTACGACGCAATATCGCGGCACGGGACCCCAAGCCCTGGCCCGATATCGTAGATCACATCCTGGCGGTCCATAGAGGGACGCCCCACGAATCAACAGGCCTGAGCCCGTTTCAATTAAGGACTAATAGCGTGGCCTGTGTTTCAATACCAAGCCTCCCGGACGAATCTTTGTTGAGCTGACGGCCCACAAGGGCTACGGTTCGAGACAAGGCCAAGTGACACATGGAATTAATGGAAACGTCCCTGCCCCGATTAGCCCGAAAACGCCAGAAAATGACCGAGTTGGCCCACGGCCGGCAGGTCCGTAGTTACGAGGCCCGAAACGGGAATGCGGGCCCACGGCCCCTGTACAAATTAGGGGACTTGGTGCAGGTAAGGAAATGTGCTCGCCAAGGCAAGATAGCGCCACGATTCTTCGGGCGATTCCGAGTGATCGAGCTTGGACCGAACGGAGTGAACACCGTGTGCCTCGTGTCGGAGGTCTCAGGAAGCCGATCGGCGCGGCCAATCGTTCGCCACGTGTCGTACCTACGTCCCGTCCCTTATTCTTCATTTCCTGCACCCTCTTCCTCTTCCCTGGCTACGGAAGAAAACGACGACTCTCCATCGCTTTCTTCCTCCCCCGCATCTCTCGCCTCGTCCCATACTCCGTCCCCGTCACCATCGCCATGAGTTTTCATACGGAGCGAGCCCTCGACGATCATCTCCTCGCGCCACGAGGCTACATCTCAGCGATCCGGCAGGTTCATCATCTGCGGTTCAGTCTGGATCTTCTATGACTTGCGCAATTCTTATGCATTTCGGGGGTGTACGCAGCGGCCGAGTTCCGATTCGCGGGCAGTCCTCAGGCGGTCGTGTTAGCGGAGGCATTGGATGTACATTGGCGGTCAGCACCCGAGATAAGCCACGTGTCCATAGTCGTCGGTTTCAGCAAAGATATCAACACGATCAGTACGCTACGGCATACGTCATACGGCCATTCGAACGTCGTTACGACAGTGGGGCCAGCAGTTGGCAGTTGAGTGGAACCATTGGCTCACGCGCCGCGGGGACGATCTTGTCCCTATGGACGACATCGACCTCCACGGGATTCGAGCGTTCCAGCACGAGCCGACGGTGGTGCTTCCAGAACTCGTCCCCTTTCAACGTCCCCAATGAACCGTTCCCAACTCTCCACTTTCGCTCTTCCATCTCTCTTTCCCACCTTATGGCAGTCTGGTATCCATCCTCGCTTCTCCTTGTGTCTGGAACCGCTCGCTGTCCCCCTTCTCGATCCAAGACAGTGGTGGCTGTGGCACGATCACTTTGTCGATCTTTCCGTGTGCCTGGTCGGAGTGAGGCTTACGTGGACAAGGGACGAGGAACACTACGAGTGGTTTGAGTGCTTGGAGTTGATGATCATCCAGGCCTGTAGGACAAACGTGGAGGGCGATCTTCTCGGGTTCCTCTTCGGATCGATACGCCCCGGTCATCGCCAGCTGATCGTGCAGGAACTCGCGGTCCCCCTTGCGCAGTTGGTTGACGACCTCCCTGTCGAGATCGTCTCACAGAGCGATGAGAGCCCAGTCCCGCACGTCCTCGCACGGACTTTGACGCCGTACCTTCAGTGGTCAGCGTGCCTGGAGGAGCCGGGAAGCAGCCGTAACCCGCCATCGCAGCGGGATTATCTGGACCCGCGGGAGATCATCGATCTCGCCTTCTTCCAGGACCGAGCGGGCTCCGAGGATGAAGAGATAGAGATAAAAGAAGAAGAAGAAGAAGAAGAAGAAGAAGGAGAAGAAGAGGAAGCTGCTGAAGAGGACGAGGAAGAAGAAACCCCGGAGAAAGGTAGTTATAGTGAGCACAGTGAGGGAGAGCAGAGTGAAGAGGAGGAAGAGGACGAGGAAGAGGAGGAGGAGCTAGAGCTGGAGGAGTCTGAGTGGGAGATCTCGGCGGAGGAAGCAGAGCAGGCAAACACTCAGGTGGAAGACCCCGAGGCGTTGCGTAAGAGAGAGGAGATCGCGGTCGGAAAACGACATCTGGAATTCGCCAGCGGAGCCAATCTACAGATCGTTGACGATCCGGCCCGAGATCTAGAGCTGCCCAAGCCCGAAGATGGGGACCCTGCTGCAGAGACTTCGAGCGCACCGACAAGGCGGCGACGACGCCAATCCCCCTCCCCCTCCGCCTCCGACCGTCCATCAGTTCGAGCCCGTACTGATGCGGGCCTTCGGGCTTCGTCCCCGATCATTATCCCGCCTTCCCCTTGATCATCTCACCCTCCGCCAAATCACCACTCGCGTCACCTTCCCCCGTAACCCCTTCCCCATCGATACCCTCCGATTCTTCTACGCTACTCGCCTCGTTTCCCTCGACCCGGTGCGCCCTCCCCGATTTCTGGCTTCACACCCTTCTCTTCAGTGTCGCGTAGCGAGGCCACAACATGGTCGAGGTTTACTACATGATTACGGGGACTATCCCCGCATGCGAGGACCACAACCATTTCCGCACGACACTCTTCCGCACCTTTACCACCCTGTATCCCGACTATCTCGCCTCACTCCCTCCCACAGGTAATCGCTTCCCCCATTTCCACAGGATCGTCCGTTACCAGGATCTCCCGGAAACAATAGCCCAGGTGGAACGATTCTTACCCCCGCTTCCGATCAAACCTCCCCCTCGCCATGCCCCCATGTATTGTCTTCATTTTCCCCTCCCTATTGGACATTGATACTCGGTTGATTAGTGTCCGTGCTACGGCGGTGGCACAAATGATCCCCTCCTTGGAATGATAAGAGCCCTCTTGAGGAACTTGTAGGACAGAGTCCGTATGCCACCTTGGATGACGTCCACACTCCTTCACACGGTAAGTGGCAACGAAGACAGTTCCACGTGTCGATCGATTAGAGAAATCGACATGTGTCAAGATTCAAGCAAGCAGGAGCTTGCTTAAGATTAAGACCCCCTGGGCGTCACATATGTGACGAACCGATTTCTGCATGGCGCGACGACATGCGAGGTAGCAACAAAGGGTCCTAAGCTGGGAAAGATGGGCCAACTACGCGAGATTGGGATGAAAGGCAAATTGCATCAGTGTCCTCGCTTCTTCGTCCTTTTTCGTCGTCTTTTCGGATGGTTGGGCTCAGGCCCAGATAAGCCCCGAGACGATCGATTGGTCGATTGGTTGCAAAGTGGCGCGCCGCCGTGCGCGCGATTAATAAATATTAACGTCGCTTCTTTTGTTTAGGTTTTGGACTCTTAGGCGAGGACATCGCACGAAAATTTTGCTTCGTTCTTTTTTGAATTTTCCTTTTGAATTCTTTTTCGAATCTTGTTGAGCCATGATGGCTCTCGGAATTTCAAACTTTCTTTTTCGAAACTTGTGTTTTTCGCTTTTCTGCATTAGATAGAAATTTAGGAATTTTTGCAATTAGGATTTTCTTTTGCAACGCAACGCTTTTTGTTTACGCGCTTCTTCATACGGCTGCAACGGAACTCTGATTAGTCGGCGCCTTTAATCGTGTGTGTAACTGTAATTTTGGGCGGGCGCCATTGTAACTGTATCCTTTCTTCTTGCGCTTCGTCTTTCTCGCTCTTGCTTTCTCTTGCTGTGTCTAACCCGCCCATAGACTGCATGCTCGGATCGATGCGTGGAGAGAGGCTACGTCCCCCACGCCGCGATCTGACCATGCAAAACGTAGGCGCTCCCTCTCCTGATCTTCCTTCTAAGTCCTTGTAATTTCATGTTCTTCGCGCATGCATGCACGCTATAAATTCCAGCTGCACGATTAGATAACTCTCTTAACCAGCTGTTGGAAGCTCGGGGTAGCGTGATCAGTGAGGGTCGGCTCAGGAGCGAAGTAAGAGGTGAGTGAAGTGGGAGTTGCGCAACCCGACGAGCTGGTGCCAAACGCGCGGGGTTGACGCGGGCCACGACGGACTGTGGGCGCGGGCGAACCTGACGGGTGCGGGAGGACTAAGCGGGGTGATGACTTCGTGGGTTGGTGTGCGACGACGGACTGTCCACATCGGAGAGAGAGAGAGAGAGGAAGAAGGAGCTGAGGTTGATGGATATGGATTTGCAGTTTTCTTTTTCTTTTCCCCCTCCGCACTTTTGTATCTAAATTTTGATCTCCACTCAGGGCGATTCGCTCGTTTTTGTTTTCTGAATCTCGGCTTGGCTTTCGCCTATACTTATTTTGTAATCAATCTCAATTTCGTTTGTTGCGTGTTGTGTCGAATGAATGGATGAGTGAATGTCATGTCTGTCGCGTCTCGTTTTGCCTGATCGTTGCCTGTGCTTGTCGTTTTTATACACTCGTGAGTATGGTAGGAATTTTCCGTATTCGTCGATAATGTTTCCATTGTTGTTTATCCCTTTTTTGAGCTCTTGTGGTTGCTGCATCTTGCATGCTCAAGAACGATTGCGTATGGGGTCGCAGAGTGATTAGATGATTGGGTAGTGGTTTGTCCTGAGATAAGCGAACACCGCGTGGGGATACGTGTAAGTGCGATCGGAACTGCGTGGCCTACACGTACCCACGCGCGCCACATTGTAACCATTGGCGAACTCGACACCATCGATATCGGGTAGGTGAGAGAATTTCTCTCCTACGCACCTAAACGAAAGGGAATTTTTGATATCACATCAGAGGATCCCCTTGCCGGGTAGATGCGTGTGGGAGGATTTTATCTCACCGCGATGATAAGATGACAAACTCAAGGGACTCAGATTCCTCGTGGGATCCGAAGTATTTCGACCCCTTGGTGAGGGAGTGTCTCAGACAGAGATACCCGGAATTCCCCTGCCTAAATGAGAATCGATTGTGCCCCAAGGAGTTTCACTGTGCCACCACCAGCGATCCGAGGTGTCCCGATTTTCCCACTTCGGATAACTCTCACTACTTCATATCCCCCGGCTTCGTCGTTATCAATACCCGTTTCCCTCCCTTCTGCCTTCTACTCCCATATCACCAACTCATGGTGGTCCCGTGGAATTCCATCGGCCCGTACTGGCCTCGTACGCCCTGCGGAAATGGTCGGCGACACGGCAACCGACGAGCCCTCGAAAACAGGAGGCCAAACCCAAACGTGCACCAACAAACGCCATGTGGCTGCCCCCAAAGGCCCACCTCATCAGAGTCACAGCCATCCCGGGCATACCCCTGCTCGAGACGCCACCCCCAAAACAGAAGGACCGAACGACCTTGAATGCACCACGCATGCCATCTGCCTTATGTTGCACGGCATAAGCACCAACAGGAACTTGCCCTTAGCCTTATTGCATCCGTGCCCCTGAAACCTTGCCACATGCGATCTCAGTTCTGACCTGGGACTCCACCTCCACTTTCCCAAAAATCCTTGGCACACCCCTTTTCGCACTTCCACGCCCACATCCCACTCCGATCAGGAAGTCACGCTGGGCGTGGGGTTAGGGCGTCACAGCGTTCCCAATTTCAACTGGCCTCCTCACCGCATCTTCCAGGGCGAGGCCCCACTAAGGAAGAAGATTCGATGAGAAGTCTGAATATGAAAATGTTTCTCAAAGAGATGCATAAGAAGGGAGCAATAGCGACTTGTGATAAGCCAAGATCCGCACTCAGCAGGTTCCCGTGCCCCTAGGGGAAAATCCCACGTAGAACCTTGAAAAACGGATTCAAGACAGTGGGGGAAGGCGGCGTTTCATTTTTCGTTCTCTTTCTGTTTTTGTTCAAAGGGAGTGGGGGCGGAATAAAAAATGTAACTCGGGTCTTGCGTGGCCGGTTAGCAGCCGCGCCAAGAAATTCAAGAAACGGTTGGGACTTAGCAGGAGTAGGAATTTTGAATTTTTTTCACATGTGACGGTTTTTCGAATTTTTGCGCACCGCGTAAACCCGCTCTCCAGCTCTGCATCCCCACACCATCTTCCTTTCTTGCTGCGCATCTCCCTCCTGCATGTCTCTTCGTCTTCCCCCTAAGCAAAGTCCGATCCCCTCCTTCTCCTTTCCCCGCGAACGATTGGCTGTCTGATTGGGACAGTCGGGGCAATGTGGTGGCCACGGGAAGAGCACCCCACTTGGACGACCACCCCAACCACGCAGATCATTCGACTCGCTTCCTTCGATCCCTTTGGATTGTTTGCCCTTCTTTTGTCCTGCTCATCTACACCCTGTGCTCCGCGCAGCCTCTCCGCCGCCTTCCGCGCTATAAATTCCCGCAACCCCTTCCTCTCACTCTCTTTGATCTCGGCTGCAAGCAGCGCAAGCTATGCGCAAAGCCCGCGGCGCCAGAAAGGCTCGACGTGCCCCGTAGTGGGCGGAGTGATGACGGGTGGCGGAGTTAGCAGTGGACTTGGGGTGAGGCAGTCAGAGGGACGGAGCGGTGGTGGACATCAGACGACGACAGCGGCAGGGCCTTCTGGCTATGGTTGTCGGTGGTCTCTACGGATCCGTTGGGAACTGGGCCCGAAGTTTCCAGTCGTGAGAATTCTGTATTTTTAAGACGAATTTTTTTCTCCATTGCTGCTTTGTCCCCATGTGCGTCCTTCTCCTTTCGCCGTCTCTCTCTCTCTCTCTCTCTCTCTCTCTCTCTCTCTCTCTCTCTCTATATGTGTGTGTGTGTGTGTGTGTGTGTGTGCTGTCTCTTATACACATCTAGATGTGT